AAAGATGTTTCTGGTCTTTCTTCCAAGGCAAATGTTTCTCCTTTATAAATGAACTATAAATGAACAGTTGAGCGTGGCTGCTTCTGTCTCCTTATTTCATGTGTCTTTTTTCAAACTTTGGGTCATGATCTATTGGTGGGTCATGAAATTTAATAAATTGCATCAGCATTTTTGTAGTAAAGCAATAATATGAGAGCTCTCTAGCCAGAAGTGGTGCACATTGTAGCAGTAACTGTAGCTGCTTGTAGTAAAAGGATGTGAGAAAAACAGACATTGGTTAGAAACAGGTCCTTTAATCTTTTATTTCGATAGTTTATATAGGATAATAGTGTATTTCTAATGATAGTAAATGTATTTCTTACAATGTATCGTGATAAAAAAATGTTTGATAAACATTTGTGGGGGCAGGGAAGAGCCTTACGTTATGGGATTGGAATGAAAATGTTTTAGTACTCTTTTCCTTTAACATTTCCACTTAAATCTTATCTTTTCACAGGACATCAGTCCTTCAAACCAGAGATGATATCCCAGTTGGAGAGAGAGGAAAAGCTTTGGGTGAAGGAGATCCAAACCCAGATGGGTAGGTGTCGCGGCCCGGATTGCAGAACGGGGGATGGACACAGACACACACAGACACACACAAGACGTACAAGACTGCAGTGGGGATTCCACCAGTCGCTTTATTCTTACACTTTTCTATGTCCGGCAGCTACTTCCTGGCACGTGACTACCTTGGGTGCCCTGAGGAAAACACATTTTCATTCCTTCCAGACGATTGCTTAAGGGAAGCAGACGTTTGCATCTTAACTTCTTTATCTCATTACCGTATGCAGGACAATGAGTCGCCTTGGCTTGTTTGCAAGACCCCAGGCGCTTGGTTATCTGTCATAAAGCTGTCTGTCATGAGGAATAGTTCTGTTTGTCCAACAGGCCGTGTCCAGACCTATTGTCCTCTGGCCCCAAGGAGAGCACATCCAGTTTCACTGACTCTGGGCTTAAGCCAGTTTTTGCCCAGGGACGGTCCCTATAGGTAGGCATTCAGGTGAGAACTGTGCAGCTGGAGTCATCGCAGGTAACAGCCCAGTTATTCTGCCTCTGCTCAGGATAATCTCTTCTCCACTCAGCGATCAGAGAGACCTTTGACCTGTGACATCTGTCATATCATGTCACTCCTCCACTTGAGACCCTCCACTGGCTTCTCATTTCAGTCGGAGTAGAATCCATTGTATTTAAGGGGCCTGTAAGGCAGTCTCATGTTTGTCCCTTCTTCTTGGCTTTACCATTCTGTGTTTTTCTCCTGTCATTTCCCACCTTCCTTTGTCTCTGCCAGCCTCACTTGTCCCTCACATCTGACGATTATGCTTCAGAGTCTTTTACTTTCTTTTCTCTGGCTGGAATGCTGTTATCCCATAAGCCTTCAAAAGCCCTCTTTCTTAACATCTTTGCTCAGAATTCATTTCGTGAGAGGCCTTCTCTGACCAGCCTGTTTAAAATACCGTCTTTCCTTCACTCTCCATGTCCTTAACTTGCGTCTATTTATGTCTGAGCACTACACCACCAGGCTTATTAGCATATTTTATTTTTTAATTGTGGTAAAATATACGTAACACAAGCTTTAACATTTTAACCATTTTTGAGTGTACAGTGGCATTAAGTATACTCACATTGTGGTACAACTGTCGCCACCATCCATCTCCAGAACTTTTTCCTTGAACTCTGTACCCATTAAACAGTGACTTCACATTCTTCCCCTCCCTTCAGCGCCTATTAACCACTGTTCTACTTTCTACCTCTGTGAATTTGACTATTCCAGGTACTTCATATAAGTGGAATCATATAATGTTTGTCATTCTGTATCTGGCTTATTTCATGTAGCATAATATCCTCCAGGTTCATCTATGTTGTAGCATGCGTCAGAATTTTCTTCTTCTATGAGGCTGAATGATATTCCACTATAGTACAGTTGACTCTTGAACAATATGGGGCTTGAGGACACTGACCCTCCCTCACAGTCAAAAATCCAAGTATAACTTTTGACTCCCCCAAAACTTAGCTACTAATAGCCAACTGTTGACCAGAAGCCTTA